CAGGAGCCCAGCCCGGCAGCACCAGGCAGGGACGGGGTTGGGAGCGGCACTCACCCAGCGCAGCAAATCCTTGGCTGCAGGCGCACGAGGCCCCCAAAGGGAGCCGTGAGGGTGCTGCAGAGCCGAGCTGCCTCCCGCTGCCTGCCCACGGGCACAGCCCTGCCCGCAGCTGCACCCAGAGCAAACCCCGTGCCCAGCTGGGCAGTGCAGCCCCTGCAGCTGGGAGGCAAAACGCAGCACAGCTGGCAGCTCACCGCACACACGAGGGGCTCCGAAACCCAGCGTGGGGTAAAGCTCCGGTCAATCAGCCAAAAACTGAAGCTGTGAAAACTTCACGCAGTTAATGCCAGCTCCGACAGAGCTTTATGCTGGGCACATCGGTTCCCCTCGATCAGCCCCCGGCACTGCTCTCAGCACTCCTCTCACAGGGGCCGGTCCCCAATCCCACCCCATGCCGCCACCCCCCTGCCCGTGCTGCCTCTGCCCCCCCCCCGCAGCCCCGCGGCACCGCCCCGCTGTGGGCAGAGACCACCCCGGGGAGCCCCAGCCCCCCGGGCACCCCCTCGGAGCCGCGTTGGCAGCGCCCGGCGGTGCTTCCCCAGCTCCGTGCGTTCTTTTCCCCCACAGACCCCGCTCGGCACCGGGCACAGCTCCGACAGCGCCGCGGGAGGCCGGGACCGGGCCGGGCCGGGCCCCCCCCGAGCACAGACGGGCCCGGGGGCACTGGGGGGAGGCGGGGGGCGACCGGCCCGGCCCCACGGCTCGCAGGGCCCCAGGGGCGGCCGCGGGGCTCCGGGAGCGGGGCTCCGGGAGGGGCCCAGCAGCACCCCCGGGGCCTCCCGGGACCCTCCCCCCAGCCGGGGCCCGGCCCCGCTCCGCCCGGGGCCGCCGCCTCCCGCGGCCCCCGGCCCCGCCGCGCACCGGGCTCGGCCCCGCCGCCCCCCCGTGTCACCGCCCGCCGCCCCCGGCCCCCCCCGGCCCCCTCCCCCGGCACCTTCTTGGGCTCGGAGCTCCCCGCGAGCCGCGACTGCAGCCGGCCCACGACTTCCAGCACCGACTCCGCCATGTTGACTGCTGGCCGGGCCGCGGCGCCGGAAGCGGCTTCACCGCCCGCTCGCCACACGGCGCCTCCCGGCCGCCGCCGCCATCTTGGGTGCGGGCAGGGAGCGGAAGTGGCGTCGCGCTGCCCGGCGGCGGCGGCCATGGCGGCTGAGGGCAGAGCCGCCACGGCGCCATCTTGGGGCCTGGCGCCACGGCGGGGAGAGCCCGGCCCCGCCCCCAACAGCGCCGAGGGGCGGGGCCTGGGCGGGGGGCGGGGCCTGGGCACGGGGGGCGCTGGGGGCAGACAGGGGGGTCCCGGAGCTGCCGCCCCCACCCCACGGGGCCCCTCCTGCCCCCCCCGGGTCCTGCGCGGGGCCCGCCGGCAGCTCCGTGCCCCCTGCTCCCTCCACACCCTTCCTGCACGGGGCTTTTACCGAATTTCCTTCTTTCTCCGAGGTTTTGTGGAGGTCTCTGAGCATCTGGGGGAGCACACGGTGCCCCCCCCGTGCCCAGCCTCAAACACCCGCGGGGTGCTCGGTTACCCCACGCGTTGGGGCTGAGGCCACTGCCAAGCATCAGACCGGGATCTAGGAACACTCAAGAGTTGGATGTGGTTTTTTTTGTAGTCAATTTTCTCCCCTTTTACCTTTCTTGGGGCATTTCTCTGCAGTGCCCGTGCCGCAGGGCAGTACAGCAGCAGAGAGCACATCTAGTGGAAGCCCAACAACCGCTCCTCGGGACCAGGAGGCTCCCTCAAGCACTGGGTGTCGCAGTCCCTATTGTCCTGCTGCCCCTTCAGCAGCTTCCCAGGTCAGAAGAGCCCCCACAAAGTGCATAACAAAAGTTTGGGAGTTATAAAACTTTATTTGCTTTTTGGTAACAGGAGCTCTTCATTTGCCGGGAAGGATGATGCCATCGTACTGCGAGGAAAGGAGAAAGAACCACGTGAGGCAGGGAGAGGCACGGGACCCCCAGGAAAAATGGGCACCAGCCTCACCACAAGCAGGCAGCCTGGAGGTTCAGCACCAGCTCTCTCCACTGTGAGTTTCTCAGGGGGGCTTTGTTCAGAAGAGCACTGACCCCGCTCACCGGGCCAGCCAAGCGAGGTGGCTCTGAGCAGAATTAACTCAGCCCCGTTACAGCTCCTCATCTGGTGGCTCAGCAGGAGCGGGCTGGGCTCCCCCTCTGCAGGGCAGGAGCAGCGCAGGTCGGAGCAGCGTGGCTCATGAAGAGCTACCACACCGGCTGCTCACCCCCTTCCACCTCTTCAAAAAAAGGAAAAAAGCCACCAGCGGCCCATTTCCACAAATCTCAACCTTTTGGCATCCCCCACTCACAATCCAGGCAGGGAGGGCTGTGGGCAGCCAAACCCCAGCGCGGGTTTTATTGGGTTGCTCCATCCGAATCATTCAGCAGCGATTAGCGCCCTGCCCAGAGCTCGCTGCACCCCTTCCGCAGGGAAAGGCAGAGCAGCCACGCGTTTTGCTGACACTCGCTGGGATCTCTCGGGCTGAAAGCCACGAGGCCGGGCCCTACCTTCTGCTGGAACCAGCGCATGGCTTCCTCCTTCCCGATCCTGTGCTTGGCTCCGATGTTGCCGGTTCTGCGCTTCTTGTCAGCGATGCTGAAACCGGGCCTGCCCAGCACCTGCCAGGAGAGCAGCGGCACCGCGTCATTCTGGCATTGATTTGCTTCATCAACACAAACAGTGCTAGGAAGGAAGCCCAGAGCTCCCAAACCTGCAACGTCTCGCTCTCTGGGTCATGTTCAGGACATAAAGCATCATCTTCCCCACCCCCAACGTAAACTGAAGTGTGAGTAACTCCGAGCAGGCAGCTGAGCCCATGGGGGCAGCTCCTCAGCCGGACAGCCCCGCACACAGACACGGCTAACCCAGCGTGCACGGGGCAGACGCGCTGCTCCACACCCACAGGGCTAACGATCCAGCAGCGTTAACAAGAGCCAACTTCCAGCCCAGGTTCTGTCAGCAGCTTTCACACAAACCCGGTGAACACAAGGATGTGGGTAATACGCACCACGTAGAAGTCCAAGCCGTAGATACCGATACTGGGATCGTATTTGATGCCCAGGTCGATGTGCTCCTGTATGCCAAAGCCAAAGTTCCCAGTGTCTGAGAAGTTGTTTTTTCTCAACTCATATTCTCGCACCTGAAACACACGTTACCGGTCAGCGTTTTGTTATTGACTGCAGACACAAGTCCTGCACGTTCTAACTGCTACCGGACCAACAGCTTGCTTACATGCTGTTAAACCTTCACCCCCAAGATTTTTATCCCACAGCCTGCTCAGGAAGCACAGCAGCAAAGACAAAATCTCCACAGATAACAGCAACTGCACCAACCCGCTCTTTAATAAGGAACAACAGCCAAGCAGAGAACCAGCACAAACGCAGCAGCCTGGGGATCAGAGATGCCACCCCAACCCTTAAACCCACGACTGCCCCGTAACCAGACCAGCTGCAGCATTTCAAAGCCTCTTTTCAGCCAATAACAGTTTAAGTTTTGTTCTTTCACAACCCAAAGACCCGGCCCCACTCCTCACCTTTAACCCCTTCTCCAGAATCTCCTCTGCTTTGGCCCCACGAACCGTGCAGTGAACGGCAATCTTCTCGTTCCTCCTGATGCCGAAGGACCTGACGGTGTACCGCGCTGCGGGCAGCAACAACCACACTCAGAGGCTGCTCCGAGAATCCCCACCCGGGGACTCGGAGCTGGCTCACAGGCACCTGGAAAACCACTGAGAGGCAAAAAGCGCCACGAGAACGGGAAATCCTGTGCGACGGGGGCAGAGCTGCAGCCAGCCCCGGCCTGACGGGCACAGCCCCCAGCTGCCCGGCCCCCAGCTCCCCCCGGCAGGCCTGGGAGCGGGGCTCCCCTCCCGGCTCAGCCCCCCCCGCCGTGGCGGCGCCCCCCGGTGCCCGCTCACCCTTGGAGAAGACGGGGGTCTGCCCGGTCAGCTGCTCCAGCACCTTGGCGGCGCGGGTGAGGCGGTCGCCGCTCTCCCCGACGCAGATGTTGAGGCACAGCTTGCGGATGCGCAGCTCGCGCATGGGGTTCTCCTTCTCACCCTGGTCTTGCTACGGAGAAACGGCGCCGGGGTGAGGCCGGGCACCGGCACCGGGCACCGGGCACAGGGCCCGGCCGCTCCCCGCCCCCGCGGCCTACCCATGGCGGCCGGCCCCGCGGGGCTCTCCACCAGCCCCTTCCCTCCCCGCTCCGTCCCCGCGGCTCCCCCCGCTCCCTCCCGTCGGGCGGCGGCACGGAGAGGCCCCGCCGAGTGCGGATGGCGGCGGATGGCGGCTGCCGGCCCGGCCCGGCCCGCGGCGGCCGCTACTCACCGCCATGGCGGAGGCGGGGAAGAGGCGGACCCCGCCCCGCCGCGGGGCCTTATGGGGCGGCAGCGCCCCCTGGCGGCCGGAGGCCGGCCCCGCCCCGCGCCCCCCCCCCCCCCCCCCCCCCGGCTCGTTGCCCGGCAACCGCGCGCCCCCGCCGCCATTTCGTGAGGCGGCGGCGCGGGGACGCGCCCCGGGAGGGGGCCCTGAGGGTCCCGGGGGAGCTGGGGGAGTCCCGCAGGGTCCTGGGGGGCTCGGGGGGGTCCCGCAGGGTCCTGGGGGCGCTTTGTGCCCCCCCCCCAGCACCCTCCTACCCCGCGGGGCCGCCGGGATCCTCAGGACCTGGCACTGGGCACCCCCCCCCCAGCAGGGCACCCGCACCCCCCCCCGAGAAGGGACCCGCACGCCCTCCCCGTGTTGTTGTGGAGAAAATTTATTGTGTGGCCGTGACAAAGCACTAACACCCCCGCCCCGTCCCCCCGCCGCCCCCCACCCCTCTCTCCGGCCCCCCCGGCAGCCCCCCAGCGGGCGGCCCTGCTGGCTCTGGGGGCTCCCCCCCAGCCCAGGGCTGCAGGCTGCCGCTGCCAAACGCCGCGTAGAAGACGAGGCCGAAGACGTTGAGGGCTGCAGCCACGATGAAGGCGTTCCTCCAGCCGGCACGGGGATCCTGGGGGAGCCCAAAAAAGCCCCGATGCCATCACCCCACTGTCACCTCCCCACAGCGATCACCCAGCGGCTGCCCCCCAGACGGCCGGCACCACGCTCAGCTCCATCCCTGCTGCCACCGACACCACAGCGCCGGGCGTACGCAGAGCCGCTGCCTGCGGACACATCTCCTGCAGCTCCTGCCTCGGCAGCTTTGGAAACATCGTGTGCCGGGCTGGATTTAGGAAGTGTTCCTGCTCGGCGCAGAGCTCTGCCCTCACCCCATCCCTGAATACACCCGGACGGGGCCATGTGGGGCCGTTCCGCCTGCCCGACTCATCCCACGTCCCCATAACGGGGCTCTGGCTTGCAGGGGGCTGCGGGGTGTGTGTGTGCTGTGAGGGGGCTGGCTGGGGCTAAATTCTGATGCAGTGCAAAGGAAGCAGTCTGTGAGAGCAAAGCTGCGCTTTCTTCCAGGGATATGCCTGTGGGTGGTGGCCCCAAATTACCTGGCTGACGAGAAGCCCGACTGCAGTAGGTGCAATAATCCCTGAGATTATGCCAAGGGTATTTGTGACTCCTAGCAGGAACCCTGCGTACCTGGAGGGAGGAAGCAAAGATTTCCTGAGCGGGACAGAGAAGAAACTGGAAAGAGGAGCAGGTGCTGCCAGCCCCTTCCCTGCAGTGAACAAGGCCACCGAGATCCTCAGCCAGCAGAAACATCTTTAAACTCATCTGCATGAGCAGCGCCTGCCAGGATGAGCCACGCTAGCATCTTCCTTGCAAGTCTGGGGGATTTAAAGCCATTATTTTACTCCCTGGCTTACAAAGTGACTCACTGCAGGAGATGAGAGAAGCAAGGAGGAGCTGCAGAAGCTTTGGGGGACTGGGCACAGGCAGAACACAAAGCCGGGGAGGGGACGAAGGACAGCCCCGTTTACCTGGGGGCTATATCGATGTGGTTAATGTTGATGCCTGCCCCTGTCATGCTGATTATCGTCAACGCCAGCGTTAGGAGGACCACGGCAGCCGTGGAGCTGCAGCCGATGTAAGGCACAGCCACCAGGAAGATGGAGGGGAGCAGCATCCCTGCAGAGAAGGGAACATGTTTTATTATGTGCCACAGGGTGTGTTGGGAAGGCTGCACAGCAGATGAAAGCCTGTTCCTACCCAGTGCTGAGAAGAGCTTCCTGACAGCTGCTGTTCCGAGCACCCGCCGGGCCAGGAGGAAATCGGCCAGCAGCCCCGCCAGGATGTGCCCCAGCCCGTTCCCAATGTAGGGCAGGGAGGAGAGGAGCCCGTTCTGCACAGCAGGGAGCAAAACGACACAGCCAGGGGCTTGGAGGCTGCGGCACTGCTGGTCCCAGAGCCACAGGTCCTCGGGAAGAAATATCCCTGAGGAAACTGCGTATTTCCAGCCTAGGGAGCAACCAAGACCCATGGCTGCTGCGGAGACCAGCCTCAGGGCAGCACTCACCTCGCTGAGGTCGAAGTGGAGGACGCTGCTCATGAACGTGGGCATGGAGGTGAGCAGCATGTAGAACAACCAGTCTGTGCAGAAGCAGGCAATGGCAATCGCCCAAAGAGGCAGCGACTTGGCCATGGCCCCGAGCGGGAGGGAGAGGCCATGAGAGCTGCCCTGGAAGGACAGCCATCGCTCAGGGCTTCCCCTTCTCCCGTCCCCTACAGGCGGGCTGCCCAGGCTCTCCTCGGCCTCTCCACCTGCTGCTGAGGCTGGGACCAGCTCTGGCTGTGTGTGAAGCCCAGCAGCACCACAGCAGTCCCCTTACCGGTGTCTGCAGTGTGCCCAAAGGGTCTGTGTGTACCTGGTGAGCCAGCGACGCCACGATGTACTCCCGCTCCCCGGCACTGATCCACGGGTGACTCGCGGGGTCCTCGTACACGAGGAGGAACCAGCAGAGGCACCAGGCACAGCCCACGCCACCTGTGGGGAGTGGGGCTCTCGGTGGGTACGATGAAGCAGAGCTGAGCGCCGCTGGGGGAGGCTGGTGTCAGTGAAACGGGGCGCAAAGGATGGAAAGGGACAAACTCCCCCGAACCCACTGCCTGTGGAGGAAGGGGCTGGCTCAGTGGCACGATGGGTTCCGCATGTTTCCTTACAGAACCCCAGCAAAAAGGGCTTCATCCTGGCCTGGCGGGTGAGAGGGGAGCCTGGGGTTGTGTGGGAGGTCAAAGGGAGAGGCTGGTCCTGCAGGGCTCAGGGGGGAAGCCCTGGGAGCTCTGCCTGCAAATGCCCTGCGGCGGGGCTGGAAGAGGGACAGGGTGGGGTGGGTCACCACTCACCAAAGATGTAGAAGACAAGAGGCCAGCCCAGGCTCTGGCAGATGAATCCAGCCACGAGAAGAGCAGAGAAAGTTCCAAAAGTGCATCCTAGGGACCAGACACCAGAAAAGGTGTTTTAAAGGGGCTTTAAAAAGGGAAGAAGGGGGTGAGGGAAGGGCCTGCGCTGACTGAATTGGTTGGGAACGTCCTCACGCCTTACCAGCATCAGCGATATTCATGAGCCGGCTGCGTTCCAGCGGAGGGGCCCACTTTGCCCAGAGCGTGTACTGGGCTGGAAATATCACCCCCTGCAACAGAGAACGGGGAGCGTGCAGGGAAGGGGCATGGGGAGCGGCACCAAGGGCCGACCAGCGCCACGACCGACCTGCGCCAAGCCCAGCAGCGCCTGCAGCCCCACGAGGAAACCCGCGCCGAGCTCCGCAGCTCGCGGCACGAGCAGGGTGAGGGCGGAGGACAGCAGCAGCCCGCTGCCCAGCACCAGCTTCCCCCCGAGGAGCCCCGCGCCGTAGCCGCCCAGCGCCTGCGTGAGGCCGTAGCCATAGAAGAAGGAGCTGAGGACGATCCCCTGGGTCTCGGCGCTCCAGTTGTAGGCAGGGGCCTGGTGGGGACGAGGAGCAGGAGTCGGGCAGGGCTCTCCTTGCCGGGCACGGACGGTGCCGGGAGGGAGAAGCCAGCACGAAGCCGGCCCCAAGGCCACCGAGGCCACCGCACGAGGCTTCCCTCGGCTGCTCCCGAGCCTGCCCTGAAGCACGGCCGTGCCGTGGCAGGGGGGGTCCGGCTGCTCCCTGGCCGCCCCCGCTCCCACCTGAGGCAGCCGCGGGCCGGGGGCGCTGCGGTTGGCGCTGGGAGGGCCGCCGGTGATGGCGATGATGGCGATGCTGAGCGCGGCCCGCAGCGCGTACGCCACGAGCAGGGAGCCGTGAGCCAGCAGGGCCAGGGAGCAGCGCGCCGAGCACAGCCCTGCGGGGAGCCGGCGTCACCGGGGGGCACCGGGACACCGGGACGGCACCGGGACCCCCCTGGCTCCCCCTGGCCCCTTCCCCCCGGGGCTGCCGGCCGTACCGGAGCTGGGGGGCGGTGGCGGCCGGGGGAGGAGGGGGGCGGCCTCGTCCGGGGCCTCCGCGCTCCCCCCGGGCCGCTCCATGCTCCCGGTGCTCCCGGTGCTCCCGGTGCCCCCCCCCGCGGCGCTCCGGGCTCCGCGCCCCCGGGCGGGGCGGGGCGGGGCTGGGGGCGGGGCTGGGGCCGGGAGCTGCCACGTGCAGCCGCTGCAGGCCCCGCCCACCGGCACAGGCCCCGCCCTCGATCCGCTCAGACCCCGCCCACCCGCTCAAACCACGCCCCCGTTCTCAAGCCCCGCCCATCTCCTCAGACCACGCCCCCCCGCCCTGCTCAGACCCCGCCCACCGCCGCATGACCAGCGCGCCGCGCGTGTCACGTGACCATTCAAGATGGCGGCGCTCGGTGCGGCGGTGCCGCTGCTGCTGGGGCTGGGGCTGGGCCTGGGCCTGGGCCACGCGGCCCCGCCCGTGGTGCTGTGGCACGGCATGGGTGGGTGGGCACGGCGCGGGGGGGTGGGGGGCACGGCACCGGGCCGAGCCGGGCCGTGACAGCGCCGTTCCCTTGCAGGTGACAGCTGCTGCAACCCCCGCAGCATGGGCTACATCCGCGGGCTGCTGCAGCGCCGCCTGCCCGGTACCTACGTGCTGTCCCTGCGCATCGGCGCCTCGGTCCTGCAGGTAGCGGGGGGGGGGGGGCTGGGGGTGGGGGGTGGGTGCAGGCCGAGACCCGGCCCCGGGGGGGGCTGCAGGGGAGGCCCGGTGATTGTTGGTAATTGGGTACCCCCGGTAATTGGGCGCCTCGCGAGGGAACCGGCCCGATTGGAACCGGCCCAGGCAGTGCAGGGCGTGGGGAACGCCCCGGTTACAGCCTCGTCCCGGCACCCGTCTGATCCCAAGGGGCTCACTGCACAGCTCCAGTGTGACAGACACGGGCTCTGCGCCTCTGTGTCCGTTCTGCGGAGCCTCACTGAATTCCTTTACGTGGTCTGTCAGAATAAGGAGCAGTGTGTGGTATTCACTGGGACCTGGAAGGGGCAGGTGGGGGTTGATCTGTACATGACGTGTGTGAAACACGATCTGAAGGAACTGAAATTGGGAAGAAGTCTGGGGAAGTGCCCCTGCTCTGGAGGAGGCAGTTTTGCAGGCAGAGCAGGAAGAACGCTGTGCTGATGGGAAGTCCCGAATTTCCTTTCCATCATCTCGTGAAGGTGAAGGGCTCTTTCAGAACTGGAGCTTTTAGTGCTCAGTTTGCAGAAATGAAAATAGCCTAAGCCATGGTAAAGGTACCAGCTGTGCTTCCTCATCTGGCTGCCAGGACGTGGAGAACAGCTTCTTCATGAACGCCAACGACCAAGTGAGGGAGGTGTGCGGGCAGCTCGCCGCGGACCCTCACCTGAAAGGAGGCTACAACGCCATCGGCTTCTCCCAAGGAGGGCAGTTCCTGTAAGCTGACGTTTCTGTTCTGCCTCCAGTGATGGAGTTTGGGGTGGGGTTTCGGTTTTGATTTTGAATTCTCCTGAACTACTGAGTGGATGTAGATGGGCAAATCCCTTCCTAAAGGCAGGAGCCCTCTAAAGGAGGGGAGGCTCCAGAAGGAGACTGCAGCAAGGCGTGATTCTCCAGGCAGACATGGCCGGGGTGCCTGAGCCCACGCTGAGCAGTGATCCTGGCCGGGGTGCTCGCGGCGCTGACTCGGCTCCTCCTTTCTCCGCAGGAGGGCGGTGGCCCAGAGGTGTCCTTCCCCTCCCATGCTCAATCTGATCTCCGTTGGGGGGCAGCACCAAGGTAGCGTCCTCTTACCCTGTCTGCTGGGGGGCGGGGGGCTCTTGTTGGCAGCAGGAGCGAGCTGTGTGACCTCCTCCTGAGAAGCAGCCCTCCGGAATCAGGCTGTCCCTTTGCTCTCCAAACACGGTGGCCGCCTTTGGCTCAGTTGTCATCTTCTGGCTTGACTGGCGATGAGCAGGGACGTTTGTAAGGGGATGGCTGCTCAGGAGGATTCCCACATGCTTTGGAAGCACGTGGGGTTAGTTGTGCCTGGAGAAATGTCTGGGTACACAGTGAAGCCTTGGTGCCCCTAAACCTGCTGGGTCTCGGCGTATTCTAAAACTGGCACGTGCAAGGCTGAAGCCCCGGGGAAGGGCAGCGTGAGGCGTATTTAGGGAGTGTGCAGGTAAGGGTAGCTGGGGATAGATCTCACGTGGTCTCCCCTGGGACATTCCGTGGCTTGGGTCTGTTTCTCTGTAGCGTGGGGCGGGGGTGTTGTAGGGAACCATCCCCACACCCCCAGGGAAGCTGGAGAATGTTCTGCCCCCCTGCATGCCCCCAGCCTCCAGAGCAGTAACCTCAGCCCAAGCACATCAGCCACTGCCTCTGCTCGTTAGTGCCCGGGGCAGGAGGGCTGTCTAATGAGATCGGAGGATTAACGGTCTCCTGATCCCCTGCTAATTCCTGCCACCCCTCCGTAAGAGGCCAGTTCTTTACCAGCCGGGGGGATTAAGGGATTGCAGCCCGGCTCAGCGGGCTGTTACGTGATGTCCCCGTCCCCCAGGCGTGTTCGGATTTCCGCGCTGCCCCGGGGAGAGCTCCCACATCTGCGACTGGATCCGGAAGACGCTGGATCTGGGCGCCTACACGCCGGCTGTGCAGGAGCAGTGAGTATGCTCGTCGGGCTGCAGGGGCGTGAGAAGCTCCGGGTTCCTGGCCTGATCTCTGCTTTCTCTTCCCAGTTTGGTGCAGGCGGAGTACTGGCACGACCCTTTGAGGGAGGAGGACTACAGGAAGAGCAGCATCTTCTTGGCTGACATTAACCAGGAGAGGGTACGCAGCTGCCCCGTGCGTTAATCCCAGCAGGGCAGCAGCAGCAGCGAGCTCCTTGGTGTTCTCCACAGAGTTCAGAGGGAGCGTTTTTTGCCCTGCACCCCAGGAGCGTACACAGTGCGTGCCCTGGCAGCTTTGTGACAGAAACCAGAGCCAGAGCAGCTCCTGGCACTGCTCGCTGGGAGGACGCACCAAGTGCCCGGCCCACCCGGCACCTTTCCCAGGGTAACCCCTCGCCCTCCCCTGGCAGGCAGCAGAGCACCGGCCCCTTCTTACAGCTTGGGGACGGGGCTGAATGCCACGAGCAGAGCAGAGGCAGAGCACAGCACAGCACAGCACCTCCCTGCCTCCTGGGCTGGCATGGGCCGGGGCTCCCTTCGTTGTTGGAGCAGGCGGGTTCCCCGCCGCTGTCCCTTGTGGGGACCGCTCAGCAACTCGGGCCCTTCTGTGCTGCTCTCACCCAGGGCATCAATGAGACGTACAAGAAGAACCTGATGGCTCTGAAGAGGTTTGTGATGGTGAAATTTCTCAACGACACGATGGTCGACCCGCCGATCTCTGAGGTGAGGCAGCAGGGCAGGGGCTGCTTTCAGGCGGGTTTTGGTTCTTGCTTGCTCAGCTCTGCTCTGCCCTTTGGTGGCAGAGCTCTGAGGGGCAGGCTGAGCGCAGAGGAAGCCAGGAAGTCCATTTTGCCTTCCGGGAGCCCTTTGGTGACCGTTCCCCTCTGTTTCTCCTGGCAGTGGTTTGGGTTTTACAAAAGCGGCCAAGCCAAGGAGACGATTCCGCTGAGGGAGACGCCGCTGTACACAGAGGTAGGTTCTGCTGGGGCAGAGCTTTCTGCAGGTGCCACTCGATTCCCCAGGAACGGTGTCCCCAGGGCCTCCAGGAGCTCTGAACCCCCCAGTCCTGCTCCTCTCACATCTCTGCTGATCCTGGGGCACGGCCTCCCCTTGCCAGGAGCCGTCTCCCTCCAGGCCGGTCCCTGGTGGTGGTTTCACACCTGGCTCAAGCTCCCTTTCCACATGTGTTTAATGAGCTTTGCTCCTTTTTCAAGCCTTGTTGTAAATCAGAAGTGACCTTTTCCCCTCTCTGAGGAGAAACTTTAAGCTCAGAGGTGGAAGCTGCTCCAGCCGGCCAGCCCCTCGTGCTGCAGCAGCCTGTGGCTGGCAGCGCTGCTCCCTGAGGGGCTCCCCAAGGGGCTCCCCAGCTGCTGCTGCAGCCCTCGGGATGCTCTCAGCCCATTTCTCTTTTCAGGACCGCCTCGGGCTGCAGGAGATGGACAAAGCTGGGAAGCTGCTGTTCCTGGGGGTGGAGGGGGAGCACCTGCAGTTCTCGGAGCAGTGGTTCTGTGCCACCATCCTCCCCTTCCTCCAGTGAGCCTGGGGGGAGGCACCGCGGGGGAGCGCCCTGGGGGGCTCCCCGTAGTTAATGCAGCTGCTGCTGTGCACGAGCACTGCTGGACAAGGCTGCAGGGAGATGGGGGAAGGGGTGGGGGGGTGGGGAAATGAATCTCAGGGCTGAGCCCCGCACTGCTGCTGAAGCACTCAGTGCCCCAACCGGAGCAGTGGTCGGGCTGGGCAGGTGGTGACAGTGACAGAACCGAGCTGCTTGAGAGGTTTAAGTCCCAGCTCCCTGCTCCTCTCCAGAAGCACTGTCAGTATTAACCAGGCACTAGTGCAGGAACGCAGCCCCTCCTGAGGGGAGAACCCAACACATGTAGCTGTACACAGGGGAGAGATCAGTCAGGCTGGGGAAAGAGACCACATTTATGGGTTCTGGGGAAAGGGGAGTTTTAAGTGGGTATTAACAGCTTGAACCATTTTCAACTAATGGCTTCTTTTATGCACTTTTGTACGACTGAAATCAATAAAGAACTTTACTTCTAACCACCTGACACAAGAGGTGCAGTGTGACAACTGCTGCCCTGAGTCAAGGAGAGCTGAGGAAAGGCCGGGACCCCCCGGGGCAACCCAGGCAGGGCCGGGCAGCAAGGGGGCATTGCATCCCCCCGAGTCATCTTCTGCCTCCAAGAAGAGCAAGCAGGAGACGCTGTAATGAGCAAGTTGGCATTAACTTTATTCTATCTTCTGTATAATCTTAAGTACATAAGAAAGGTTTTTATTTTTCACAAGCCTCAGGAGAAGACGAGTACAAGTCACAGGACAGTCTTAAAATAAAAAATTGCATATTTTTTTTTGTAAGTTTTGTCCTAGAGAAAAAGAACATTGACACTTTACCAAGGAAATGCATTTACGATATGCTTATGCCACCCGAGGCATTGGAAAAATGAAGGTCAAAGCACGTGCAGCTCCCTTTGTGGGTCAGTACAGTACTGTGGGGTGGATCCATCACTCTGCTCCAGGGCCCTGGAACAGAGGCTGCGAGCTTCCACCAACGGAAAGAGCCAAGCAAGGGGGGAGGGGAGGCTGGGGGGAGTCACGCAGTGGTGACTGATTGCAGAGGAGGAGGAGAGCGATGAACCGTGATCCAACCTGGGTGCGGGTAACACTGCACTACTGACCTGGAATGGAGGAGACCCTGCCCCCGCAGGAGGGGCCGGGATCGGAACCGTCCTGGAACGCTGAACCTGAGTCCAGCTGCTCCCAGCAGGAAGCCCTGGGGTAAAGATTCCCTTGAGGGTGGAGGGCTCATGGGAAGAGGTGAGAGCTCAGCTCCAAGCTACCAGCCAGACTGCCGGGGGGGAAAACTGCAGCGGCTCCACCGCAGCCTTCCTGTGGCACTGGTGAATAAAAAGCCTCCTGTCATGGCACCGTCAGAAACGCACTGAGCTAGTAGGAATGATGAAAGGGAAACCAAGGTAGAATGCTATGGCCCAAGTCCTCAGCCTTTGGTCCAACAAAGCCATTGCCATGTCCTGTAATGCCACTGATGAGTAGGTAGGGCTGGAAGCAGCAGCTTCCAGGAGCTTCAGACATTTGCAATGGCAACCGCGTACTTCTGGACCCCAACAGACAAGAGTATTTGTTAAAAAGGGGACAACACTCCTCTCTCACGTGAACAGTTTGCTTAAAGGCAATACAAAAATTAAAACAAAACCCGAACAACACTCTGAAAGCCAACCGCCAGTACTGGCTGTGAAGTTCACCCAAAATCTGACACGATCAATTGGTGCAGTTAGATCAGACGAGGGGAGGGGGGAAATACACCTTCCTGCTAATAGATGTGGACAATAACTGACCCGCCACCTGTACCACATCCCAGCCAGAGGTATCTCAGTGACGGCAGGTAGCTGTGTCTCTCGGGTAGAAGAGAAGCAGTTTGAGAGCAGAAAGGTACAAGAAATCTAAGAGAATCATCTGAAAGCAGATTTGTCCCACAGCAGGGCCAGGGGAGGGCGTGAGCCTTGGAGCCGTTCTGCTTAGCCAGCAATTTCCGTCACAGTGGTAACCAGCTTCTGACCGTTCCACACCGTCTTGAACTGTTCTGGGACAGGGAATTCAGTCTGGAGGGTGAAAACAGAAATCTGTGGTCACACATCTCCTTTGGGACCGAAACTAGCAGCCGGTCCCACTGTTTTAGGCACTTCTATGTCTATGCCACATCCCCTCCTGCACCAAACGCTTCCTGTTCTGCCCCCCAGGGATCTTGAGGCAGAGGAAACCCTCACCAAACAGCAGGAGTCCCAGCGTACAGACAAACAGCTTGATTTGCTATTTTAGCCTCCAATCACCATCCACAACCCCCCAAGGCTAGAACTGTACCCTCCAGACCTCACTGCAGCTGCTATTCCCCTCAGGTCTCAAAGCATCATGCCTTCCCCCTCCTCTAGCAGCCCCCCATCCCCAGCAAGTGCACAAATAACACTTACAAAGTCACCGCCCTCCGTGGGAATAAGGACGTTCATCTCCGATGACTTGGCACTGACGATTTCGCAGTCTAGGGAGTTCTTGCTCAGGTACACGTGGCAGCCGTCGGTTTTGTTGATGGAGATTGTTGGCACTTTACCCATTACCTAGCGGCGAACAAAGCAGCAGTGAGAGGAGCACCAGCAGGAAGTGGGCAGCCACATTTTTCTTTTTGCAGCGGTTTTCAAGGCAAGAGGTCTGACTCCAGTTCCCCACCAGCGTCACACTGAGCTCAAGTACCCACACTTCTGGCAGTAACCCAGGGTTATTTCTTGTTCTGGTCTTTTAAGAACAAAACCAAAGGAAAGGCTGGGCAAGCTGCCCATCCCAAATCAGATACCAAAACTGGAATCAGAACACATTCATTCTCCTGCTCGCCTCCTACTCTGGCAGCCAGATCCTGCTGCCTGCCTCACAGAGACAGATCTTTTATTTAGATCCCTGAAGCAGCTCATTGAGACAAATCTCAGCCCTTTTCCCGAGGGCTGGGCAGGCTCAGCTGCAGAGCAGGAGGACAGAAGGCATTTCATGAGCCTTCTCCACAGGTGCATATTCCTGTTCTGGAAATTCAGCTACCGAGAGCAGCAGATGCTACCAGAGCCCTGCTGTGCAGTGCAGCATCACTCCCCGGGCAGAGAGCAGGACGCAGATGCTCACCTGAACTTTAACGTCCCTGCTGTTTATGATCTCTACGATGCCCACCACATCATCGAACACCAGACCTAGCTTCTTGCAGTTATCTGCAAAGACAAGACAGAGCAGCTCACAAAAAGGTTGGGGAGATTCAGCCTTCTGCAAACAGACCAGCACGGAGCAGCAGTTTTCAGGGTTGCTCTGCTTACCAAGGGTGATGGAGTTGATCTTGCCTTTGATTTGGAGTGTACTATTCGTGCACTTGAAGACGTAAGCTACTTGCTTCAGTTCTGTATCGCTGATTACCAGGTTAGTGGCATTCTCATGGTTTTCCTGAAAAGGAGAGGAAAACGTGCTTTATTTTTAGAAGAGACCAATTCATCCATAAGCACAGCAGGGTAGTGGAGCCCTTTTAAAAGGGAATTCATTGCATGCAACAGCGGGCTGATGAATCTTACACAAAAGGTCTTCAGGAGCCCCCTTCCCTGCTGTAAGCTCCCATCCCTCCCACCCGCACATACCGATGCCTGGCACTCACCACTCTCCACTTTTTGCCCTCTAATTCTAGCAATGCAGGTTGCTTCGGAGAGGCTTTTTGGGAAGGATTAGCACTACAGGCTGGTTTGGGAGCAGTGAAAGGTTTGGGTCCGCTTCTTATGGGACCTCCTTGGTTCTTCAGTGCTGGATTCTTGTGGGTCTTCATGTCATCTGAAACATGTCTTAAGCCTGCAAAAGAAATCAAGCCTCAGCTCCAGCTCTCCACTGGTAGTGCAGTTTCCCAAACACCAGAGATCAGTAAGCAGCATGACGACATTTTTCAGATGGCAGATAAATTCTTGAGTTTGGGCCTAAGCTGAGCCCAGCCACAAGTGACAAGTGAAAGAGGAAGCCAGAAACCCTGAGGCACGTTGATGAGGACGTTGTGTGGGACCAGAAGGCCCCCTGCTGTTCCACTCTGCAGCTGGAAGAAGCCTTGAGCCAAGCAGCTCACCTTTGTGCCACATCTGTCCTGATGCCAGCCAGGCAGCACACCAAGGGGAGGTTTGTGCAGATGTGAGGTGTGAAACTGCACCTTTGGTGCTGGACACAGGACAGGTATGCAACTGGAGAGCCCCCCCCATCCCAAATAGCAATTAATCTCTTGCTCCCCTTGACAGATGAAGCTGAGAACAACTCAGCCGGGCTCCCTTTGTCCTTGTGAGTTGCCTCAGGGCCGCTCCTGGCTCCCAGCCTCCCGCTCAGAGCAGATGGCCTTTTGTTTTCAGCCTCCCTCCCAGATGCAGGTGTGTTCAGGGCCAGCAGCAAAACAGGGATCCGAAAGGCCAGCCTGGTCGGACCCTCAGCACAGCAGCGTCCTGCTGGTGGCCGCCCTGCCCTGCCCTGCGCCACTCACCAGCCGTGATGCCTTCCCCCCGGTTGATCTGGGCGAAGAGCGCCGAGCGGGAGGCAGAGTCGTCGCTGCTGGAGCCCGTGGGGGCAGGAGCAGGAGGGGGAGGAGGGCCCGGGGGGGGCGGCGCAGCCCCTGCGGGGGGAGCGGATGGCGCTTTAGCCCCTTCTGTTGCTACAGGACCCTGTAAGAGGCCAGCAAGAGGAAAGGCCGTTGCACAAGCTCCACGTCTGCTGCAATAACCACGCAACAGCCGCCCGGGGAGCCCTGCAGACGCAGGCAGCACTTACTGTTTTGCTCCAGGTCAGCCCCGTGGTGTGATACTCTTTGATGTAGGCCTGCAGCTCTGTCCAGATACTCAGGTAAGCTTTCACCCAGTCCACTTGCTTTTTATCTCTAGGATGCAAGGAGATCGTGAGGAGGCAGCAGGCACGTTTACCATCAGAACCCACGGGCTATACAGGGATCTTTACATCCCTCCCTCCCGGGCTGCAGGCAGGACCCAGCTGGACTGGCACAGATACCTCACACCTGAGCACTGAGTTCTAGGTTCAGGATTAATCTCACTCCTGCAGGCAGGAGGCCAGAGGCCTGGCTCTGCACTGTGGCGTATTTTAATTGAGGGCTCTGGTAATCCTAACGAGACTGCCCCGAGCTCACTGCCCTGGGGAGCAGCTCAGCCACCAGACGATGCTGAGGCAAGAAGAGCAGTACGGCTGCTGCTGAGATTCCAGCTGCAATGTGAACACAAGGAATCTTGGCCCTAAGGATCAGGAGAGAACAGCTGAAGGAGGCTTTATAAACACACCCTGCCCTTAAAGCAAGAGGAATGGATTGAAGCCCGAGGCAGCTGTGGTTAGGTACTGCAGTGAACCCCGTACAGCCCGTAGCTGTTTCAGTGATGTCTGTAAGAGAAAAGGAGAACTTACACATCCTTGTACTCCTTAAGGATCCGGTTGGTGTAGAACATGGCAGCATCAGTCATTTCTTTTACGTAAGGACCAGGCT